TGCTCTTCGAGAAAAGTGGACCCACACAGTTCCGACTTTGAAGTGTTCAAAACTCAAGGACAGTGGCCTCCTCGACCTGCTACGGGCAGCTACCGGTCCTTCGGATGCCCGCCCCTTGCTAAGCCCTCACCTCAAAATTGCCCACCCTCCCGAACGACCACCGACGTTGAAAGTTGAATTGACGTTGAAGGTCTCAAGGGCATAAAATGCATCCCTGACGGGCTGCGAACTGAAGACTGCAGCGGGTCTCGTGTGATGCACCCGCGAGACCAGGCCGCCAGTCTTGGGAAAACGCTTGGGATGGGGGGTCGGGCCCAAGGGAAACTGCACGTGCGCGGGGGGACATCGCGCTACTGGACCGCTGCACTATGTACTTGTTCTACTAAAAAGGTTTTTGGTGCTGCTCCTTTCTACCACTGTCATTCACAGGAATGCATCTCAACAAGAAGGTCCTTAGACTCCGTACCCATTCCACATCCCAATTCCTTCGACCACCGCCCGTCTCTCCCTCTCTCATAGTGCTCTTTTCTCTACCGATCTCTACAATACCAGCTTCACAAATCCAAATTCTCCTTCATCTCAACTGCTGCACACGGCTTCCACCACCCCTCTCTCCATCAACTATTTCTCCCTTTCCAATTTCCCTTTTCCTGATGTGGGCGGAGCCATGCTGGCCGTTTTTTGTTTTGTACAGGTAGCGGCCAGGAGCGGAGATGGACGATTTTGGAGCGGAGGAGAATGGATTTGTACAGCTGAATGGCGGCGGTGGTGGGAGCAGCGAGTTCTTTCCGACAGATTTCGGCGGCGATTCTTCCCCGGGGCGTGCAGGCGCTGCCGCCGCGGACCCCTACGGCCACTCAGAAGAAGATCGGCACTCAGGGCGTTTCCGTGACGATGGGGATGACTTTGGTGGCCCCTTGGGTGGCAGTGGCGCTTCCCCGCTGAACGGCATGTCGGGTGCATCAGCCCCGCTAGACCTTCCCTTGGAATCTGAGCTTTTGTACGAGTGGCGGCGGAAGAGAGCTGCTGAACTGGAAGAAAAGGCGGAGCAGGAGAGAGAGAGAAAGGTGGACATCATTGAGGCAGCAGGGAGCCTGAGGAGCAATATGGCCGCACAGAGAGAAAAAGCGATGGAGGCGGCACGGCAGAATAATCGCGAGAAAGAAAGCGTGTTCTTGTCTGGCCTAGAGGCGTCCATGTACACCAACCCCGGCGGCAATTATTGGGCGACCGTGGCGGGAATGATCGATTTCGATTCGAAGCCGGAGGAGAAGGTGCCGACGAAAACTGCCACTAAAAGCGGAGCGGACAAAGCAGCGGACAAGAAGAAATCTGGAGGGGCAGCATCTGTAGTAGTGAACAAGCCTAAGCCCGGCAAAGCAACAGATCTGACTCGAATGAGGCAGCTGTTGCTGAAGCTGAAACACAACCCTGGCGGTGGAAAACAGACGGCAGCTGAGACGAAGGGAATGAACGACGGTTCGCGACATGCTCCTCAGCCTGGACCAGTTGCTGCGACCGGGGTGTCATCTACTCAATGGAGGGATAATGTCTTTTTCTGAGTTTGCAGCGAGTGGAAGACCTGGTCGTTGGATGGATGGTAAGATCGATGGTGAGGGAGGGGACCCTCTCCAAGCTGATATGCTATGGAGTTGTCCATCTCTCCATCCGTTCGGCTGGATTGATGTGATGATGCTCTGTGGTTCTCAGTCAAATCCTTCCGTCTTCTTCCGGCCGTCGCCACCTCGAATGGGCGGGCTATGGTGCAAGGCCTTGATGCTCCCTCCCCCGTCACCCCTCCCTCTTTGTCCCCTTTCACTCCATCTGGTGCCCTGTGTGATGTTTTCATCACTCGTCTTGTTTTCCCTTAGATCACTCTTTTTGTTTTCCCTTACATAACTCTCTTCTTTTTTCACCTTACAGTTGTTTCTTGTGTGCTCTCTAGATCTCTCAATTCACTGGTTGTGCGGGTGGTGATTCTGGTTCGGGATTGACCGAACGTGGTTTGAATCTCTCCTACTCAGTGCAGTTTTCTGTTCTTCTTATATCCTCCTGGTGATGATGGTTGATCTTTTGTGGCAATCCGACCGCTAAAGTCTTAGAAACATGAAGCTGCCTGGTCTACGTTCTTGCCTGCTCTGCGTGGGTGATTGCACTTCTGCTTGCTCATCCCTTTCCCCCTCCCTCCCTTCCTCTGCTTTACACGTCAGATTATGGCGCTCTGTATTGATTAGCAGGTGATGATTCGATCGTCTTTGCCTCTGTGTCTCTTCTTCTTGCAACCTGATGGACTCCCCTCTTGCCCCCCTCCCCATTCCCTAGCTCAACGTCTCGCCCTTCCTCCTCCTCCTCTCCTAGCCCTGAATCCGATGTATTTTCGATTCCTTGTTTTGAATGAAGAGATGGTGAAGATTTGGAGTTCGTTTAGATATCCTGATTGAATACTTTAATAAACGTGGGGTGGCACGAAATGGAAGGGCTTAGATGCAAGATTTAGAAAGGAGTGAGGGCTTTGAAGCCGTATTTGCTCTTCTTCCGTTGTTTGTGGCAATCTTCTCTTACCTGGCCCTCTCTTGATCGATATGTTGAGACTTCTCTTCTCTCTCTCTTCTGCTTCTTGTGACCACTTCTTTTGTGGGTTCATCTGCAGAGTAGACCAAGAAGGGTCTGTGCTGCTCCGCTTGCGTAAGAAAATGAGTATTGGTGATTATGCAACCAACGCTAGGGGGAGCATTACCACGGCGGAGGAATGGGATTAAACATAAAGGACAGAGGCTGAGGAATGGGAAAGAACGAAAAAGGACAGAGGTGTTTGTTGGGTGGTACACGGCTGATCGTGTGTTAACGGACACGATAAATGCTACAGTGGGAGAGCAAAATGAGCTGAGTCGTCGGAATACGAACTGAATGTTGGAGGGTTCTCATGCGGTCGTTGATTGTTGTTGGGTTGCATATTGTGCCAGACGAAAAGCAAAGAGATCAGTGAAAAGAAATGGACATGAAAGTCAGAGAACCGAACTTGACAACCTCAAAGCTTAGACCATAAACTCAAAAGCAAACGCAACAGCTCACAATTCTGCAGGAAGGAAGGATGATTTGTAGAAAAACGGAATTAATTGAAACCGGAATGACAGAGGTGATCAGAAATGCAACCTGCAATAGGGAACCTTCGACGCAATGACATTGAGAATCGCACAGACAGATAAAAAGTGGATGTGTTTTGTGAGTGCAAGGAATTGTCTCAAGAAGAACATACCAATCAGTGCTGAGAGTGTCATCCATCGGTCATTCATTCTGTTTGTCAATCCATCTGCAACTGTGAACATCCATTTCCGCTGTCGTTGAGAGAAAGGGAATCGAGCACAGCCAATGTGATATTGTATGTCGAAGTAGGAAACATAAGATTTCTTGCAGTCTTTGAATGTGTGGATGTTGATGTCGCTCTCCGGACATGGGGGGGGAGAGAGAGAGAGAGAGAGAGAGAGAGAGAGAGAGAGAGAGAGAGAGAGAGAGAGAGAGAGAGAGAGAGAGAGAGA